CGTTGCCTTTTTTTGACAATGACAATAAATTCTTGAAACTTGAAACTTGAAACTTGTGAAGCAGGAAAAAGACAAATACAAAGTGAATCAAGTAGAACTTTTTATTGCCTACCTGGAATGAGTGTTAACAGTTGAATTTAGTTTGGCTCTCAAAATGGTATTGGTGCCCTATTTGTTGGTACTCTAAGATACCGATACCACCATTTTAGTGCTGGATCAGGGCCCTGTCCAATACTGGTATTTGTATCGGTGAAACACTAACTGCAATTTCACTGTAAAGTACGGTGGAGACTTTAATGCCTCTTCCAAAGAGCCCATAAACCAAGTGAAGAGCCCATGGTGTGTGTCTCTATGACATAAAATGAGAAGAGATAAAATATGGTCTTTACAACTAAGCTAAAAACGAGTCATATTGGGCTCAATGCCACAGAGACAAGATCAACATTCTTTCATGCCTGTCTCAGTCCCAGACCTACAATTCAAAAACGTAACACCCTTGGTCATCCTCTAAATGTTTATTAAAGGTTGGCAAGCCCTTGCCTTTAATTAAGCCTGAAGGATTTACTAAAAACTGGATATTTTAAAATAGTAGGTCACGTTAAAATTACCCATGACAAAAACACCGACCATCAGGAACTTTGCCGAAATTTTAGAGATCGAAAGACAACTTTTAAAAATACATTTAAAATTTCAGACTAAAAACAATATATCTTTCAATTCTTCTAGAACATTGCTGGGGTGGACTGCACATCTTTCCCAAGAAATTAGCATTTCTCTATCTATACTTTATATCCTAGTTTGAGTCACTGCAACACAGAAAAAACCAACAAAAAACAACCAGGATGAATCATTCTCCACATCTGCATAGCAAAGGGATGATTCAGACAGAGCGCTTTAAAAAATCACAGCAGCTTGAACAGTAACAAACTTATTAGATAATGAGAGAGCAGACCCCTGCACAGTAAATTAGGGGAATGTGAAACAGCAGTAAAACACTGTCAGTGTGCTGTAAATACTAATTAATGACAGAAACACTGTCAGCTGCATAATTACTAACAAAAGCAACATGATGCTAACCAACAAAACCACTGAGACAAATAACAAAAATTACTACAACGGTTGAGAAAATAGGACAAGCTACTTGTGTAGCATCTGACAGCTGTAATTAATTTTCTGCAACAAAATCTATTTTAAGAAAACAAGACAGAAGGATTTAAGCTTTAAATAAGATGTTTCTGGCTGAGTTCTTTCTCAAAAAGCATTCTGTATAAACCTATGCTGAGATGGAAGAAGTGTTTTATAGCATCCAGTCAGAGCACAGATCCAGGTGAAGAATGTTGCTGGGAAATGAGCCTCTGTTTTTATTTATTTCTTTCTTTATGGACATGCCGTTTGTTTTTGCTGGTAGCAATTATGAGAGATGAACTTCCAACAGTCTGAGGTCAAACTCAAAAACTGCTCCTCAGTGCTGCTCTTAAAATCTTACTGCAACATAAATTTCCAGGCTGAAATGATTGTTTAAACTTTTCAAGTTCTGAATGAATCATCTTGACAGAAGAAAAAGATTTTTATCTTAAATACAAAATGTTTACACATTTTTTTCTACAATTTTGGTATAATTACTGCTCTAAGTTGGTCGCTCTGTCAGCTAAAGGCATGTATTAGAGTCTCTACGCTCCTGTTAACTATTAATCGATTACTAAATTATTTGATGATTATTTTAATAATCAATTTATCAATATTAATCTGATTAATTTTTTCAGCACTAGACAGTCAAAATATTTGTATTTAAATTACCCATGAAGTCTCAGTCTGTACACCACAACCAAAAGCAAGAGAAAGTTCACTAAAAAACAATTACTGCTTAGGCTCATTATACTCTCTATTAAGGGGTGATAAAAGCACATCTTTAAGACCATGAAAAAACTAAGAACAAGAACAAATGTCCACGTTGTTGAAATATGAATTGTATCTTGGGAGGAAACATACAGTATTTGTCCAACAACTAAAAGAGACATTGTGTATCACTGGCTAAATATTTACTGATATTTTTACCAATAGTGAATTCATCCCTGTTTTTGAAAAACCCTTAACAGGACTGATGAAAACAATATAGTTTATGTATTTTTACATCTACAAAATGTAATGATGGGTTAGAACTGTAGTCTACTTGAATTTAAAAAGAAAGTTGTCAGATTGTAATGTTATATGGATCTAAGTAAATGGAATAAAATAGCTGATCGGATTGAAAAACATGCCAATCAGTATATTCTGATAACAGCTAACCAGAGTGATCAGCAACCAAGGGAAATATACATGACAGGTTACAAATAAGCACTCAGGTCAGTCAGCATAAGCCACCCCACTCAGTCACATTAAATACTCATTCCGTTTCTACCAAATCTGATCAGAATACACAGAACATTTTTAGTCCAATCTGACATGTATTTCAATTACTTATGTTAATTTGGTCAACTGTGAGAGTTACAGTTATTGAGTTTAATTTACATGGTATCACGAGCAGATGACAGAAAGACCTACAGGTAGGGTGGTAGCGTAGGTAAACAATTCCTTATTTACAGAGCACCCTTCCTTGGGAATAACTTGATCTTGATTTAAAAACACTAAACATACGAATAGAATATGATTAAAAGGAGAAAGGAAAAAAAACAATAGATATAATTAAATATATGTATTACTCCAAGGATGAAGGCACAAAAAGAACTAGAAAATATCAGGATGTTCAAAATAAACCTGTTTTATTGTGTTTTTGTGGTAAATAGTTAATCGTGGTTGGACAGCTGGAGTAACTTTATCTATTACTGAGGGAATATATGTATGCTTTTACAAAGGTTTATTGGTAAAACACATAAAGAAGGTCTGAAGAGATGAGAGCAAAGAGTTAAGTGAGAGATGGATAGGAAAGGAGCATGCATAGAGCATAGAGTGAAGGGTCAGAGACCAGGTAACAAAAAATAAGTCACACTATAAAATATGACCTTTCAAAGCTGCAACTGTCTCGTTTTTATATCCACAGCACTTCCAAATCTACCACAAAAAAGTAACAAACAAGTCCAAATTAATAGAAACATTAGACTGAAAAGTTATGGACAGTAGCTTACTGGTTTTGCAACTGAGATTGCACTATAAAAGCATCCATCTGACATAAAGATCCAGAAATGTTGCAAACTAGAAAGGTAATAAGCTTCCCAAAATGTCTGCAAATACTACTCACTAGTATAACTTGGAACTTTGTTTTGACAGAAGATCTTGTTGAACCAAGGAGCTTTTGATCCGGTGGTGTGGAGCACAAATTTACACAAAGGAAAACTAGGAGCAAAGTATCATTTTTGAGACATCCATGTGAAATGTATGACAGACAGACATATAGAGATGTAGTTTAGTGTATAAGACTTTAAAATCTTGTATATAGCCAAATGTAGGAATGCAGTTATTTCAGATTATGATATTGAACACAACACATAACTAATCAAGATACTAAACATAATATAGTGATGGTGGTATCATGTTGTGGAAATGCCTCCTTTCACCAAGAAGTTCTAACTAATAAAGTGTAAAATAATTCTAAGTCTAAACCCATGTTTTTTTCCATTTCTTTAAAAAGCTTTTCAAAAAGTCCAAAACAAACTAAATGCATGTGTTGTTTTGTATCCTGATTTAAAGCTAATCAATCAGTCAAAATTAGATTGACCATAATCTGAGTCTTTACTGGTATCTGACCAAGCATTATATAAAAAACAATAACAATATTAGATATGTATAATGCAATAAACAGAAAACCCACCAGCTGCGAGACAAGTAGGCAGCAGCAGCCTGAAGATGAGCCCGCACACCATCTGAGAGGCCATGGCTCCTGGGGGCCCGTACAGAGTCCAGGTAAAAGAAGCTGGAGATTGTCCCTCTGTGGTCAGGCTCTCTCTTGCATCCCAGTCTGATGCGCTCCGTCACTTCCCGGCTGGCTCCTCCGGGCGGCCGCATCGGTTCCCCGCTGCTGCAGACACCTGGACTCCGGCCATTCCACAGGAAGGACGCAGGAAGCGCATTCACCGAGGGTCGCCACAGCAGGGGATGTCACCCCCGTAATGTTGCCCGCATGACAGTTTTAAAACCAAAGATGCGCTGCGGTCATGCTGGCGGATTTAGACGCGCAGACGAGCTGCGTTTTTACGCAGCGCAAAACAACCGGAGAGAGGAGCCAACAAGTCCGCAAGTCCAATTAACCTCCTTTAAGTCACATAAAAACTTTAACTAGAAATCAGCGCACTATAACTCGGTCTTAATTACACCCCCCAGCTCTGGATGGTGGGAACAGGGAGCAGAAACGGCGGAAAAGTCCACATTTGAGCCAGAAGACCCCCCTTACAGAAATTTGACTTTCTGACTTCTGCTGTTGACTCGGTTGTCCAACAGGAGGATACAGGACGAGCGTGAGAATGGCAGCCCATTCAGCCAATCAGAGGTGAGCGACTGGAGGTCTGCCCAGCCCCCTGAGATAATTGGAACCGAGAGGTGGGACCAGGACACAAGTAAAAAAAAAAAAAAAATACCTTAAACATTAAAAACAAGTAACACCAGTAAAGCTCTAATGATAATTAATTCTAATCATTATTATCTATGTATACTTTAGTATAATAATCCCTGGACTGTGAAGCTGTGAACATCAAATGAGAAACATAGCTTCCACTGCAACTCTATGAATCGTTGGCTCTTGACATGTAACATCTTATTAAAGACAAACAGCGACGTCATCTGGTGCAGCGCCGCCTTGCACAGAGGGATTTGAAGAGTGATTTGGAGGACAAAGCAGGAAAGTTAAGCATTTGGCATTTTCTTTCAAATTGTTTTCTCTTTTATCTCCTTCCGCATGCAATCTAAGCTTTTTTTTATCCAGCAGAAGAACAGTTATAACTGAGCAAATAGAATGAATCTCTACCCTAATCCTACCCAAACACTATCTGAATCCAGAAGACAAAACATGTTGAAACCAAGCCATCAGAGTCACAGTCAGTGAAGTAATATTTTAAGGTGAAATAAAATATGCCATATTTGGACCCTGAAAACCCCATCCACATGGGGAAACAAGGCAGTGGCAACATCATGATGGAATGCCTGTTTTTCTGTCAGAACAAGGAAGCTTTTTAGCGCTGATGGGAAGATTGCACTGAACTAAAACTAAAAAAATAAAGTTAAAAGTCCACCTTAGAGCTGAGAAACCATAGACATAGAGCCAGAGCAACAATGGCGTGGTTAAGATCAAAGTATATTCATGTATAAGAATGGTCAAGTCAAAGACAAACTTGAAAAATGTTGTTCACAGATGCTCTATGCATTCTGAGTCAGATTGAGCAGATTGAGATACACCTAACCATTTCTGCAGCTGCACTTCAGGCTAAACATGCTTCTACAAAGTATTTACTCAAGATAAAAAAAAAAAAAAACATATATCCTTTTCCTGCTACTACACAATTATTCACCAGTTAATATATCACATAAAATTCATATTCCTATAAAATAGTCTGGACAATGTGGCTGTAAAGTGAAACACATCTTTCAACTATTTTCCAAGGCACTGGAGTACAGCAGGTCTGTGTATTTTCAGATTATCACCTATCTAATACACAGTTAATTCATGATCTGGCAGACAGATATGTTTGATAATGGATAACTTTAATATTTCCAATCCACCAATTTTCTCTTCTCTTTTTAAGACATCAGATTCACTCAGTAATTCAGAAACATGTAAGCTGAACACCATGATGGGAGTTATGGTCTGCAGCGGCAGATGTTTCCTTTCACAACGCAGAAAACAATTAGTTTACTTTTTTCTCTCTCGAAGAGATGCCCTCCCTCAGCATTGTTCTACAGGACGTTTTATTTCCAGGTCTTGAGCTTGTGGGTTTCCTTTAGAAATATAATAACATCACAACCTTCTAAAATTACCGTTAACACTTCAGCCCATGATTTTATAAGTAAAACTGTAAAAAAAAAAAAAAAAAAGAAAGAAATATGAATTTATTCTCCAACCAGTCAAAACCAAAATTTAACCTTTTGGAAAATTGATTTACAATCTGCACTATCTATAACTATTTATATTTCTAGTTTTTATAACTAAATAATTAACTTGTCATAACTATTTCTATATAACCCACCCCATTTAAAAGTAATTATACATCTTACAATCAATATTAAATAACCATTTTTTTCCCTTTCAGTGATTTTGCTCCTTGAATTTTCCCATGAATGTCATTTTTTCTCAGTCTAACTCTGAGGTATGTGATGCCTGCAGTGCTTTAGATGTTGCTCTACCTTCTTAACCTCCTAGAGGATCGACGTACAGTATGTTCTCCTGGAGTTTGGGGATAATGACTGGAGCTTCAGTGTCTTAGAAATTGCTTTTTTTATCCTTTACCCTTTACAGGCTTTCTAATGTTTGCTTAGGCCTAATTTATGTTGCAAGGCGTGTTGGGTTAAAGTGTCTTAATTTCACATGAGCTTGGTGTCTATGCATTGTCGTTTATATTATTTCTCTTTTTAAAAGAATAACATTCATTTCAAAAAAGTCTGACTGGAAACACCAGAGAAGTTTTTAACATCAGAATGATGATGGACGCATTAAAAGCAGTGGTACATTTGGTCTTGAAGGATGGCCGATTTAAAACATCCTGAATCAGCTGGAACAGGAAAAGGGAAAAGACGGTCGTTTTTCCTGACTGAACATTTCATACCATTGCTCACATCCTTTAACTGTGTTCAGAAGGCAGGGCATTTTTTTTTTTACCCCTGTGTCCTGTCATCATGAAAGACTCTCATCAGGACAGAAACATTTCAGGTCAGGATACAGTTGCCCTCTGTGAATGTTTTCCTGTCGTCAACAGAGTCTCTCATTACACGGGGCAAGATTAGGGGGTACACACTTAGAAATAGCAATTATCATTGATCCCCTCTGTGTTTTTTTTTTTTGTTTTTTTTACTTTAGAGTTATAAAAATATTGAGACTTTGAAAATAGGATTAAAAACACATTTGAACGAGCTAAGATATTTACAGAGAACTTTTGCTGAGTCATACATTGCTTACTGGAGCACAATTTTAGATGTAGTTTAACCTTTTTTTCCCTTCCTTTTAAACATTTGCTGACAGCAAAGCTACTGAGCCCTTTTTATTCTTTTAGCTGTCTATTTTGTCTTGCAGACATTTTTACTGATGCAGAAAAATATATTTTTATCAGTGATATATATCTTGTTATGGTAAACCTTCAAAAGAAAACTCTCCAGCATTTATTTAAAATGATTTATCTGCACTCTTAGGAAAATGTGCATTAAAAAAAAGCTGGGCAAATGCTATGAAGACCTTTATCAACGTGAGGATTATGCTTACAAATCTTCCTTTGTGCTGTTAATGTTTTTTTAGAGTGTATGATGCAGGGGAAGCAGAAGAGGAAGGGAATGATGGGAGTAGTCAAAGAAACGATCCCAGTGACCTTCACTCTGCATCTGAGGAAGGAAACTCACAGCAGCAAAGGTCGTGCTCGTGATGCAATGAATCACTGAAGGGAATGGTTCAGTTTACAAAAATAAGAAGAGTAAACAGCTAAAAGCAGCAAACCTCTGGCCTGAAGTTGCATTCTTCACCAGCGTTCCAGACCTGCTGCTTATTTTCACTGCCTGAGGGAGCGGTCGGAACACCACACAATCAATAAAGCAGTCCAAAAACATGTCATCCAGGGATTTGTCTGTGCTGTTTGAAGTCCAGGTCTGCTGAGCAAATGTAAAGCAACATCTGTCTTTGATTCATTATTCATCCGCCTCCTTGAGAGGGAATTTATTGATAAAATCTCTGGCTCAAAGTGAGCCTTTGGGTCAAGCTGCTCCTTACGCACCTGTAGTTCACTGTCAGAAATATCATAACAAGATTATCGATGATGTTAAGGGGTAACAGAAGATGTCAGTTTTATTTTTTGTGTCATAAATATAGCTGGGTTATTTTATTAGGGTCCCTATGATTAATTGGCCGTTTGATGTGTACGTTAGGTTTGTCTCATGTTAGTCAAGTTTCTGTTTTGAGAGGCAGTTTGGATCATTGATGCAGCAGAAAAAGCTCTGAGGCCTCTGAGGTCTTTGGTTCACTCTCCTCCTTCAGTCTTTCCTTGATGGATCTGCAGACTTCTGACTCTTCCTCTCCAACCATCTTAAAGCATCCAGCTGTATCTTTGTCACTCTCCTACTCACCATTGGACTTGTTGATGTCCTGATCATCCTTCAAAGACTCACCAAGGAGTCTGCAATCTTAGGTTTGTCCTCCACAAACCCCTTATTGTACTCATGGACCTCTGGTCTGTCTTCCAAAGACTATATTTACTTATTTACTATTATATACTATTAATGTTTACTATTGCATTTATCCTTTCTAGTCTCCCCACTGATCCATGAAGTTCTGTCTCAAACAACTCATCTCACAATTAAGGGTTCTGGATATTCAGTGTTCTCATGTGAATCAGTTATAAATCTGGCAACTTTCAACCCATCCTGACACTAATGGCACTGGTGGCCAGTGGGATTCATGTTAGATCTTGTCTTCATTTTCAGATGTTGCTAGACAGGGAGGGTATTGTCTTGGTGTGAAATAATTATAATGATTTTATGTTTTGGCTCTTTCTTTCCATGTGTATGCATAACTGAATTGTCCTCTATTTGAGCTATAGTTCATGTTTTATTTTTTTTATCTGGTTTCTTTGGTGCACTTTCTTCAATTTACTTCCCGTATTTCCATCTCACCTCTTACTCTGATGATTTTACACTGTTGTTCTTCTGCTTCTTGCTATTAGAGTGTTTAGTCATGTTTTGTTTATTTATTGTTTTCGTTTATTACCGATCATCTGATCCACCTGCTTCAGTCTCTATTTAACCAGCCTTTAAACCACTCATCAGTGAGTGAGAGTTCTCTAGCATACCTGTTTGTTCTCATTGCCTGGTCCTGACCCGTTCTGCCTCTGAACCTCTGAGCCTGCCTGTTCCCGTTCTTATCTGTTTGCCTGACCTGTCTTGGGACTGCTGCTTGATTACTATCTGCTTGTCTGTGTACCGAACCTGGAACTGTTTCCCGACTCCGTTCTGGATTTCCTTTTGGTACCTCTTCTGACCTCCGATCTCCTCGCTCTGACTACTGAGCATGTCTTTGACACCGGCTTTGACTTCGCCCTATGGATTGATCCGCCTCCTTTCATCTGCTTGGTTCTGATCTCCAGCCTGTCCTCCAACCTCCGATACAGCAGCGCCTCACACTCTCTGGGTGGGTCATCTTCTGGGTTCAGACTGAACTATAAGACCAGGTTAATGACTCACACATTCTTTATCATCCTCCATCATAACCCGTTGTCTCCTCCCACAGAGGT